GTAACTAGTCCGATGTTAGTCAGGCCACTTTCTTGTAATCTCGTGGTAACCAACACGATAACTTTGTATACATTACGCACACTAGGATAGCATCCAATTTGAATCAAGTTAGTAGTCCTGGTATGTTCTGTAGTCATAGCAGAACATTGGTTTATTCATGGCTGCAGCACCAGTTTTTCTAATCCAGGGAAAATATTGAAATTCCTGTCTGATGTGGCATTTCTCGAGTGCACCGGTAAATGAAGGGGACAAAGTTAATTTCTAAACTCCCCTGTGCACCTGGTTGCTTATTTTCTGCGTTAAACCACGTAAGCTACGAACAGATGCCTGCTTTACAAAGACTGTCATATGATGAGTGGTTTTTGTGAAAGGTGTCTTTTTCAACAGCTTTAACTTTCACTGTTTTGCTTTCAGGTCGCCGAGCACAGCTATGCAGTCCTTGACACGCCAAAAACACTGAAGAGGAAACTGGATGCTTGCACAGATTCAACGGCGACAGTGAAAAGAAAGCTGAAGCTCAGCCTTGAACGAGAACGTCGGTTAAGAAGCAAGGTCAGCTCATTTAATGAAATAATTGATGACCTCAAGCACAAGCAGCTCATTTCAGAAGATGCCTCGGCAATGCTTGAAAGGTGCTTCATGGGGATCCCCTTGGAAGTTACGAAACGGTTGCTCAAGCAAACATCCAGTGAAGGCGACAAGTCGTCTGTTAAGTTAAGCCGAGACAAATATTCTCCTGCACTGCGTGCATTTGCACTCACGCTACAGTTTTACTCGACAAAGGCATATAACTATGTCAGAGAAACATTTCAATGTTCCTTGCCACATCCATCGACTATAACTAAATGGTATAGCTCCATTAACGGAGAACCTGGATTCACAAGCGAAGCAATCAACGCCATCCGAGCAAAAGCCAATGAGGCTAAGAAGAACAACAAACAGCTTCTCTGCAACCTTGTTGTTGATGAAATGGCCATTAGAAAGCACCTTGAATGGGACGGCAAAAAATTTCGAGGCTACGTGGATATTGGCAATGAAGTGGACGATGACAGTAACGCAGTTGCGTCTGAAGCCCTTGTTTTCATGCTCGTATCTCTGGACTCCCACTGGAAGGTACCGTGTGGCTATTTTTTGATCAATGGTCTTTCAGGAAAAGAGCGTGCGAACATTGTGAAGCTCTGTCTGACAAAGTTGCATGAGACAGGAGTGCACGTGACATCATTGACATGTGATGGTCTCCATTGTAACTTTACAATGTTCAAAGACCTGGGGGCTTCCGTTGAAGATGCATCAGCGATGTCAACATCATTCCCTCACCCTGTAACACAAGAAAAGGTGTACTGCCTTTTAGACGCATGTCACATGGTCAAGTTAGTTAGAAATGCTCTTTCTGCTCTTGGGTGCCTCAGGGACGCATCAGGCGCATCGGTGAGCTGGGACTACATTGTCCAGCTACAAGAGCTTCAAGAAAAAGAAGGCCTGCATGCAGCAACAAAACTACGTGCTGCACACATTCAGTGGCAGAAACAGAAGATGAAAGTCAACCTTGCTGTCCAGACTTTAAGCACTAGTGTGGCTGACGCCATAGATTTTTGTCGTGAAGACTTGCAACTCCCACAGTTCAAAAATTCAGAAGGAACTGTGAAATTTATTCGAATGTTCGATAAACTGTTTGATTTCCTCAATTCACGCAACCCAGTGGCCAATGGTTTCAAAGCGCCGCTCCGACCTAGCAACAAGGGAACCTGGATGAACTTCTTCGAAGAAGCCAAGGAGTACATTAGGGGGCTGACTGACGGATCAGGTGTTCCCATTTTCAGGACGCCCAGAAGAACTCCATTTCTAGGATTTCTGGTGACCATTGAAAGTGTCATCGGTCTGGCATCCGCGCTCCTCCTCTCGGACAATGCTCCACTCCGTTACTTTCTTACTTACAAGCTTTCACAAGACCATATTGAACTGTTCTTTGCCGCTGTGCGTTCTAAAGGGGGCTGGAATAACAATCCCACAGTCTCACAATTTGTGGCGGCATACAAGCGACTTGTCACACACAACCAGGTGAAGGGTGGGCGAGGGAACTGTGAGTCTCTTGACAATACGCGCATACTGTACGTGAGCAGTCAGTTTTGCTCCAACGATGAGCTCGACATGGCCACAGCAAAGCGAAGCGGCACACAAGACCTCATGCAAGGCATAGACCTACCCGACGAGAGCGAGCTGGATGTCATAGTTGAGGATCTCCCTGCACTGTCTCCGTACCTTGGAAACGTCGTTGGTTACATCGCAGGGTTCGTTTGCCGAATGGTCAAACGTAAAATACCTTGCGCAGTATGCTACTCGGCCACCATTGCCGAGACATGTGGTTCGGCACTCCTGAACAGAAAAAACCGTGGAGGTCTTTCCAAGCCGTTGTCATCGACAACGTACATCTGTCAGCTGACTGAAAAAGCTGTTCGACTGCAGGAGAAGGTTCACGACGGAGGCCTTCCCAAAAAGAATGCAGCTGACACTGTGACAGCCAAGGTTATGGCAGAACTTTCGGGAGTGCTGAGCACGAACAAGCTCTATCCGGAACTGCATGGCCATATGTTCGAATCAGCAGTTGACTCCAACCACTTTGTGCGTCTTGTTAAATGTGTCATCGGCTGCTACGTGAAGATCAGGATGCACCATGCCGCGAAGCAAGCTACTGCAAAGATAACAGGACCAAACATCCGCAAGCGACTTGCAAAGTTGATTATTTTCAGTCACCAGTGAAGTGACGTGGCATTTCTTAAGTGCTTCAAGCGACTTGCAGAGTTGATTATTTTCAGTCACCAGTGAAGTGACGTGGCAGTTCTTAAGTGCTTCGAGTACAATAAACACGTGAAATCCATCTTTGTACATGTATGCCTGTTTTGTTTTCAATGGCGAGGCAGCAAACATACTTAAATATTAACCTGCATGCACTGTTGCCAACCATCTCCAGGCACTGCATTGTCAGTAACAAGGACACGTGCACAAACGTTCTGAGTAAATGAGTTTTTCGTACAATTGCAGGCCTCTCAGTTCGAATGAAGCAGTTCCACGCGTCCTCCTTTATCATTCTTTAAGGGTTACACTAAAATGTCCAATTGAAGCCGTAACCACTAGGCAAATCTAAATCTGGATAGACCAGTTTGCATTAGGCACTGCGTGTGCGCAATGGGTGGGCGTCCCTGAAAACTAGCAATAAATGTGTTCATAAGCTAGAAATTTTCCTTCAAGAGAAAGGGCGATACTTTTTGTCAGGCAATGATGAGAAAGCGCGTTTTAAAAGAATTTACTTTGACCTTCTGGTTACACATATATGCTTGAATTCATATTGGAAAGGGTTCCGATGTACTAACCTTCAAAGGTAAAACAGGAGCAAGCTGCGCACAGCCAATTCAGGATTTTATTTTTTTTTTGGCCGGCACGTAGCAAACATCAAATCGGTTATTCTGTTTCAGGCAGCTTCCTCCGCGTTGTTATCGAACTCGCTTAGCTAGTTGATTTTCCGATAATCCAAGGCCTTTCACGGCTGTTGATTTATTGTTTTCGACTAATACAAGCCCCTTCATGACTGTTAATTTATTGTAAGACGTGGATCCTAACACGAATCATAAAGTCCACTCGCCAGCATAAATCCCGTTCGAGCTGCGTCGTCTCCTCTCGAACCGATACCTAAGTGACATTTTTGTTCTCCTTCGCAATTATAAACTGCTTCATATTAACGTCGCATGTTTCGGTATAGCATAAGTTGTGATCTGAACGCGATGTGTATCACCAAAATGCAATTAAGTGAGAACAAAATGCAAAATGCGTCAATGGGAACGCTGATCAGCGGTTGAGAAGCGTAGCAGACGCTCAACTTCCGGGACGAGCCATTGAACTTCCGGTGGCCGTGCGCACGCCAGGCCGCGACAGCGGCGAAGCGCCATCCAGCAACCCTAGTGGAGATCAGTGGTATGAACCAACGTTTCTAGACTAGTCTAGAAACATTGGTATGAACATCGAGTCGATGCTAGGGGGAATAATGCCACCAAGAGTTGTGAGCCGGCAAGCCCTAAGGAGCCCAAAAGGGTAAGGAGAACGAAGAAGTAGTGTGTGTTAGCGCTTCGTTTGAAGATGCACGCTCGTGTCTTTCTGCTCCACTGTTCCTGTCTTGTCTCTATGGCTCTTGGTGCGTGACAATATTATGTAAAACTAACACCACTGCAATAGTTCTTAGAGGTACGTCTCCTGGAGTTTGTCGGTTGCACGCGACATCGGTGCTTCGGTTTTGTTTCCGCCTGTACATTGGTTAGAATTCGATAACTCTAGAAAAGTTACTAGTGACTCCCAATTTACTTAATTACCTCTCTTTTCTAACTTTAGCTTTAATTATTTCAACTTCTCTGGTAATCTGTCGACACACATACACAAGCACATATACGAAAGAGGTGAGCAAATGTTACGTTCCCCTTTGAACTTGAGTATCTGCAGACACATTTCCTAAAACACCCAATAGATACTACAACCCTTTTGTGCGCCAGCAAGCTCGATATGCGAAGCATCCCTCGGCAGCAGATTGATCTGAAAGCATGCAGCGGACAATGGGTGCATGAAATAATTTTTTTATAAACAAGAAGAGGTGTTTATTCGTTTGTGTAACCTAAAAGTGGTTTTCAAGTCATTTTTTTATCTTAGAACTGCAAACCGACGCGCGCAACGCGCGTATTTCATTGTGGTCTATGGCGGTTTTGCCCAGGTTTTGCCGTGTTTTTCTTCTAGCAATATGGCCGCTGGCGGCTTCACTTGCTCCCGTTGGCGGCGGTCGGGACTGCCACTCCAGAGGTTTCTTGGGGAGAGAGCATGGCGGCTGTGGTGGCGCTCACGCGGTAGGCAGAAAAAACATAGGAGGCGCTGGCTACGCAATACAGAACCGGAAATGCGTTTACGTCATTGATAAGGTTTTCCGCTTGTCTGCTGCGCGGTCTCGCGCATGCATTTCCAGACAAATGGCGGATCCGTTGAGCTTGCTGCGGCAGTTCAATGTCAACAAAAAAGACATCGCCGAGAAGAATTCTCAAATAATATTCGATGAGTACTCATGGCCGAAGACCGTAAAGACCAACTACCTCGTTTGGGGGTAAGTGCTGGTTCAAACACATTCTTGAGTGTGGGGGTAAGTGCTGGTTCAAACACATTCTTGGGAGGTGGAAGCGTATTATTTTTCCATGTGTAGGCTTAAACTGTGTGAGCGACTGCATGCTGACAGCGTTGGTTTTCAATTCTATCGGCGTACTGTGCGTCGATTGCTGTTTGGTGTGGAATAATGCCCGTGTGGATTACGGAGACACCTAACTAAAGTTGCGATGCAACCGTGGTGAGTGTTGCGGCTGCACGTAACGGAGTCGTGTCTTGCAGCTCACTACTTCGTACGCACATTTACACTACCTGCAATTTCTCGTTCCGACGCTCACCTGTCAGCAAGCTACCTTAGAGAGAGATAAAAAAAAAAGATTGTGCAAGGACGACTGTAATGTAGTATGCGACAGTTATTTGGTTCGACCGCAACTATCAGCTCTTAATCGCGAGTTTCCAGCGTTGGAGCCAGCGTTAATTTCGAGTGCACCCTCTCACGATGCGTGGATTCGGTGTTTTGCAGGTCCGGTAAAGATGGGGCACCCCGGGAATACTACACGCTGCAGTGCCTGCTCTTTCTTCTCAGAAATGTACATTTGTCTCACCCGGTGTACGTGCGACAGGCCGCTGTGAGTACCCGTTTGACGTTGCTGGATGTGCGCTCCGTTCTTGTGCGCGTACTATATGATCGGCACACGGAATGCACAAGGGCAGCCTCCGTTGCGCTTGTGCGTTCAGTTGTGCTTCTAGCGTGAGGCAGTTGTGGGTTAATTGTTGCCCGTTGAGTCACAAGCCCGGCGTGCGACACAGGGATCAATGACGGCTAGTAGACGCACGACCGCTCCTGTAGCCATGCGCCGCCTTCATCGTCATATTACAGACAAATGCCTGTGTTGGGGTCGTGTGACTTTCTTAAATTGGGTGGCAGTAGCGGCAAAAACCACTCCACCCGCGAGTCTGATGAAACTCATCGTCACTTACACAATGTTTGGTCATCGAAATAAGGAATGCTGGTGAATTTTCCACATGCTTTTCTATATCTGAGTGCCTTTCGAGCTATATATATGCGAATAATTTCACATGCCGGCAAAAGCACAGAGCGCACTCTGAGTAGCATACAGATGAACATGAAGAGCCATTTTCAACGGAATTCGTAACAACTTACCACCATAGTACAAAAATCAAAGAATGGGGTCGTGTAGTGGAAATAACATCAGATATCACTTGCCATCCAACTTTGTGGGCCATGTAAAGAGGGAAGAGGTCAGGAAGCCTTGCAGCATGTGCAACTGTCGATGGTAAGCTAAGCTGCACACCAGCAACTGGCAAAGGTTGCATGACAGACCAGAACTGACGACCGATTTCACAGTGGCTGCGTTCATTTATTAACACTAGCAGAGGCCTTAAACACTTTGTACTGGCCTTAAAATTTATCGCTCAATGGGAGAATATTGTACACCACCAAGTGTGAGCACGTTGTGGCGCTGACTGGCGGTCGTAGTCACAGGTCAACTACAGTGATTTTTTTTAGTATGTTAAAGTAATGTCAATTTTATGTTTCTACGGTGCTCCTGTTATATGTCTCAGATAAGTGCCTACAACATGCAGAAAAGCTCTTGATAAACTAGAAAGGGCAAAAATGAAATCGAAACTCAACCCAGCATTAATTACTCTTTGGTGTGAAGTATACAAATGCTGGGAAGGCATACAAGGAATGCCCGTCTGGCCAACAAAAATGGTGAAAAGCTAGCAGATACTACTGATTTGTGACCTCTCTGAATCGCATAACCATATCTTTAGAGCTGCTCAGCACTGTGATGGCTATGAGATCAACGAATTCAATAGCCACTAATAACAGCAGCCACGTGGGATAATGTCATCAGGCTTGATCCGTGACTATTTCATCTCATCTAATGTCTGACCAGACGAGCTTTCGTCGAACCCTCGACTTAGTATGTACTGCTATATAGGTGCTTGTTTATCATTCCTCGTATGTTTTTATTTCATGCATCTGACTAGTAACAATGCTCAATGTTTCACAGAAAGGTCTGGCTTGTATTGCAGATATTTCTGCAGCATTCGAGCATGAGCAGAGCTCTGGGTAGCGTGAACTTTTTTTCCCTGCCAAGTCAAGAAAAGAGTGCTATCTCTGTAAAGCACTCTCACTAACAAACATAAAAAAAAAATGCTGACTTGCAGGTTCTTTTCAGCCTTGAAATGCAATGGGTGAATATTCACATCCATGGGCAAAATATTGGGAAGCTTGGACAGCCTTTGCTGACCCAAAAGAGCTAGAAAATATTCGCAGCGCTTGCATCTGTCACGATGACGATATAAAGACACGGTGATAACAGACCTGGCACACTTTGATTTTGCCTCTTAGGCCCACTGTTGCGAGGCACCAGCACAAAATCTCTAATGCTTACTTATTACTGTTTCCAGCATGGTGCTTCATCATAATTGGAATTCTATAAAAATACTGCACGAGGCTTTCTAGATTGTAGCTGTAAGATTGTGAATTCTAAATTATGTGCTTTATGTGAAAACAAGATAGCTGCCACAAAAAGAGGTTGCTGGTCCTGTCAGTTGCACACCTGCAAAGTCTTCTGGAATGTCCTGTCGCTGTGGTCTAGTGGCTAAGGTACTCGTCTGCTGACTCAAGTCGCAGGATCGAATCCCGACTGCATTTTTGATGTGTCGAAAATACTGTAGGCCCGTGTGCTCTGATTCGGATGCACGTTTAATAACCCACGTCGAAATTTCCGGAGCCCTCCATTATGGCGTCTCTCATGAACATATGGTGGTTTTGGGATGTTATACCCCAACAATAAATCAAATCAAAATCTTCTGGATTTACCGGGAGTCTATGATTTAAATCTCACGCTTGTACGATTGTCATAAAAACCTCCTGAAAATGAAAATTTCTGGGCAACGAAAATTCAGCCCAATCCGATCCATGCTGTTTGTGAACCCATCGCTATATAATGTTAACCAATTTAGGCGGTTTTGATGTAAACAAACCGTAGAATCACAGTGACAAGAAACTGGTCTATACGAATTCATTAAATTTTCCGGCCAAATTCTACGGTGTCCATTCGGACAAAATTCGCATCTTCCTCTGTGCGACGAGGGGTATGAACTTTATACCTAAATTGTACGAACGAAAACAGAGAGCACCATGCTCAAAGCTTTGGAGGTACACAAGCGACCGGTGCACGCACTGTCTTCTGAAGGTGCGAGTGCTCGTGTATTGCCATAACCGTTGTGGATGGAACCGTCATCACTCTGGACCCTGTAATTTATGGCGATGGCGTAACCCACAAAACTCCGAATGCGTTCGTGCATCCAATGCTCGACTAGTCGAATTGATGCTGCTTTCCGCAAACGCTGCAGACAAAACCGCGGCAGATGAAATCATGGATAGCAAAAACGACTTAGTTCTGAAGGCACGTGCTGAGCCAGCACATGCTGATTAGGAACGAAACTACCACTGGCTACTACCGCTGCGCACGAAAATGTGTTCGCGATGACGCATGGTGACTATGAGCTCCAAGAGCACATGCCTAAGGCAGCGGTAGATTAATGGCAATAAAGATGTAAAAAGAGGCTAAAAGCGTTTTGGCGCTCCTGTCCAAAGAATCTAGTAGTCGACCTGCATACTATAGATATATACTTTGACATTCAGTTGGCATCAGCTACTACTAGAATCCGCAGAACGCAATAATTTACGGATTTTGAATACCCTCTACTGAAAATGAGGAAACCGTAAGTGGAGATGGAGGAGCCCTAGTGGCGAAAATAAGAACGAAATAGACTTTATAATGAGTGCACACACAGGCATCGTGCAGGATGTGGAAGTGGTTGGCAAGGTACGATGCAGTGAACGTAGAATGGTATGGTCTCGAATTCGCCTAGACTTGAAAAAGGAACGACAGAAACTGATACACAAGAAGCCAATCAATGAGCTAGCACTGAGAGGAAAAGTACAGGAATTCAGTGTCGCTGCAGAACAGGTACTCGGCTCTTAGTGAGGAAACCAACCTTATCGTAGATACAATGAATAATAATCTGACGAGTATCATTACGGAGTGTGCTGTGGAAGTTGGAGGCAGAGTAGCTAAACAGGACACTGGCAAGCTTTCCCAGGAAACGAAGAACCTAATTAAGAAGCGTCAAATCATGAAAGTGCCAAGTACAACAGAAAAAATAGAACCGGCAGAGCTTTCGAAGTTGATTAATAGGCGTAAGGTATTCGATGTAAGAAGGTGTAACATGGACAGAATTGAACACGCTCTGAAAAACGGAGGAAGCGTCAAAGCAGTGGAGAGGAAACTTGGTAGAGACAAAATACGGATGTATGCACTAAGGAACAAAAAAGGCAAAATAACTACAATAATGGATAGGATTGTTAAAATAGCGGAGGAGTTTTACAGAGATCTGTACAGTAGCCGGGACAGCCACGACCTTAATACTATAACAACTAGCAGTAACCCAGATGACACCCCACCAGTAATGATAGAAGTCAGAAAAGCTTTGGAGAGCATGCAAAGAGGCAAAGCTACTGGTGAGGATAAGGTAACATCATATCTGCTGAAAGATGGAGGACAGATTGTGTTAGAAAAACTAGCCACCCTGTTTACGAGGTGTCTCCTGACAGGAAGAGTACAAGAGTCTTGGAAGAATGCTAACATCATCTCAATACATAAGCAAGGGGATGACAAGGACTTCAAGAATTACAGGCCGATCAGCTTGCTCACTGTAGTATAAAAGCTATTTACTAAGGTAATTGCTAACAGAGTAAAGAAAACATTAGAATTCAATCAACCAAAAGACCAAGAAGGATTTCGAACAGGCTACTCAACAATCGACCACATTCATGCTATCAATCAGGTAATATAGAAATGCTCGGACAAGCCGACCGCTATACATAGCCTTCATTGATTACGAGAAGGCATTTGATTCAGTAGAAATATCAGCAGTCATGCAGACACTGCAGAATCAGGGCATCGATTAACTATATATAAACATCCTGGAAGAAATCTACAGGGGATCAACTGCTATCATAGTGCTTCATAAAGAAAGCAACAGAATACCAATCAAGAAAGGTTTAAGGCAGGGGGACACAATCTCCCCGATGTGATTTACCGCGTGCCTACCGGAGTTTTTCAGAAGCCTAGAATGGGAACAGTTAGGGATAAGAGTTAATGGAAAATACCTTAGTAACCTGCGCTTCGCCGATGACATTGCATTGCTGAGTAACTCAGGGGACGAATTGCAACTCATGATTACGGAGTTAGACAAGGAGAGCCGAAAGGTGGGTCTTAAAATTAATCTGCAGAAAACGAAAGTAATGTACAACAACCTCGGAAGAGAGCAGCGCTTCGAGATAGGTAATAGTGCACTTCAAGTTGTAAAAGACTATGTCTACTTAGGGCAGGTAATAACCGCTGAGCCAAACCACGAGGTTGAAGTAACTAGAAGAATAAGAATGGGGTGGAGCACATTTGGCAAGCACTCTCAAATTATGACAGGTAGATCGCCACTATCCCTCAAGAGGAAGGTATATAACAGCTGTGTCTTGCCGGTACTTAGCTATGGAGCAGAAACCTGGAGACTTACAAAGAGGGTTCAGCTTAAATTGAGGACGATGCAGCAAGCAATGTAAAGAAAAATGGTAGGTGCAACCTTAAGAGACAAGAAGAGAGCAGAGTGGATTAGGGAACAGACGGGGGTTAAGGATATTATAGTTGAAATCAAGAAGAGGGAATGGACATGGGCCGGGCATGTAGCGCGTAGACAGGATAACTGCTGGTCATTAAGGGTAACTAACTGGATTCCCAGAGAAGGCAAGCGGGTTAGGGGGAGATAGAAGGTCAGGTGGGCAGATGAGATTAAGAAGTTTGTGGGTGTAAATTGGCAGCAGCAAGCACAGGATCGGGTTAACTGGCGGAACATGGGAGAGGCCTTTGTCCTGCAGTGGACGTAGTCAGGTTGATGATGATGATGATTCAGTTGGCCTCAAGCGAAGCATGTACACACGTTGCCGCGGCAGCCAGCTTCGCCTTCTCTTCACGTGTTTTCCAGGAAGACATATGCGAGTTCTTTTGACACAAATCGATTTTGCTAGTTGTTCTGATGATGTGAAATTTGTAAAGATTCATATATTTGTGCTACCTCTTTGAGACTCAAAACTTTTACTGTAATTGGGAAACCCTACCATCGTGTTTCGGCTACTCCAAGTCATCATAAAACCACAATGCCGGTGTTTTTGTATGCTGGGTTGTCACGCCCCCTTTGTTTTGCGTGGTGTTTTCTGTTTTCTTTTGGTGCAAAAAAAAAAAAAAATGGGGTGGGGGTAAATGAATCGATGCAACTCCCTCCCAGCGTTGCAGAAAAATCTCAGATTCAGAATCCGTGAACTTGCCAGGTATGCAGCGGGTACTATTGCTCATACTTTTGACATAAGCTTAAAAGGCCCGTAAACTACCCAGGGCATGAAATTCAGTTGTTGTGGGGTGATTGTTCACAAGTGAGCAACGAATGCAGAGCCGTGGGATTTTTCTGAAACTGTTCAGCTTAATTATCGAAACTGCAATGCAGGAGAGAGCGAAAGGAGGGATCTGCTTTTGCTCTCCTGCGTTACCCTCTATGGTATCCTCTCCTAAAGCCACTTTGCCCTATCGCTGAGTGCCCCTCCCTATCTAGCGTGGCATACGTCATCGCTGGCGCATTGCTTGAAACACCGTCTACTTCTGGTTTCCGCCACTCCGTCAGTTGCGTTCTAGCTAGGTGCTTGTTGGCAAACCGTGGCTGACGTATCTATACGAATTGTGCCGGTATGGACCCTGAGTTGTGCGCATGCCTTCAAAGGATCGCCAACACGGTGGACCTGTACAGTGATATGCCATGCCAGACAACCTCCGCAGCTGATTTGTGAGCGGGCGCACGAACGCTGGCAGCATGCTGAACAACAAGCAGCGTGGACAGCTGCTTGCAGACTGACCGGAAGTCATGGGTTTTTGCTCGACCAATCGTAACATATTTGGATCCATCAGAGATATTGGAACGGTGCGTCACGCAGAGGCATGAAAGGCCCGGAAAGAAGGAGGGATTATTTTTTGGAATTTGTGGTGTGCCACGAGCCTGTAGCGCTGCCACATTAAGAATCGTCGATTGTCACAGCATTTTTCACTCAATGTGTGTGTCTATTTGAAACATTTGAAAAACTATTGGAGGTGGTTTACGGGACCTTTAATGAGGTTGGAATTTTAACCAGACATCTTAATTGTGGTACTTCAGTAGCCTCAAACCAAGTTTTGTTCTTTGCGAGAAGACTTGAATTAACAAGGTTCTTGCTGTTAGTGCAGTTTCTGTTACAATGAAGTTCATTTTAACTAGTTCAGGTTGGTCACATTTGGTTACTTTGTTTTTTCTCAGGCTGAAAACATTCCTGTTGTCAGGCGTCCTGACAGAAAGGTGAGTTGCTCACGACTTGTGAGGAACCTATTCTCACCAGCTTTGGAAATGGCTTACATACTTTGTTGCCGCTTGTGATAGCTTAGCATCAAAATGTCTGTGTATTGGTGTGTTTTGTTGTGGAAAGATATGCTTTGCCTTGATTAATCCTCTATTGATTAAATTAAAACTTTGTTGATTAAACTTCAGAAAATGGTCGTGCTAGTTTGGGGAATGTCTTGAGCGATTTCCTTATTTCTGTACATTTTCTTAGTGGTATGTGGAGTGCATTTTCTAACTCATGCTAGTGTAAAATCCCGGCACAGCATTCTAAGACAATCACTTTCGGTGACAGTGTTGCTTTGCATGAGGTAAAATCATGCATGTCCAATGAATGAATTAACTTCTTGCACCTGCCCTTAGCCAGTAAATGAAAGTGCACCAAAGTTGATAAGGTGATATCTTCATGAGTGATTGTCTAATGGTATGGCCCCTGTAGTTTTGAACCACCCGTCAGTCATTGGGAGAGGATGGTGACGATGGGGACAATTTTTTGTAAGTTATGTACAGGGAGCACAGGGAAGCGGTCTGTAAGGAGCTGTCCCATACGAACACTAGGTGGGCTCTTCCTTACGGGAGCTTATTGGTATTGGCTATGGCCTGGGCAAGCTCAACCAAGGCCCCCTGGGCCGTGCGGTCAAAGCAGTTGAGCAAGTCTGCCTCCCAGTTTTCCTGGGAGAGGTTGGGTAGAGGGGCGAAGTTTTGGGGCTTTTTTTTTGGCTAGCCCACATCATCGGCTCTTTTCCGCCACCGCGACCAGCTCACAAGTATTCGAAGCCCACAGAATTCAAAAGCTAGGGCAAAAGTGCAGCAGTGAACTGTCAATTGCTCTCTGTGATAACAAAATATCACTTTTAGATGCAGCTTGGAAAGTGAGCACGCGGCCTGTGGCATTGGCCGCCTCATTACCATCGAGGCCTGTGTGAGCCGTAGCCCATCTGTCGTTCGGTGTGTGGAGGCAGCTAGGTAGTCACTGTTATGCGAAATTTTATAGGCCAAGTATGGAACGTAGCGTTGTTCATCATTGTGGCCAGCACACCTTCAGTCGGTGATAATGAGCCTCGAGTCCTGATCTGCGGTGGCTAGTGCAATGGTGATCTTCCGAAACGCATGCGTTCCCCAGCCTCCTCTTCATGAATAAATCATACCCTGACCGCTACGCAGACTCATGCCCGGGCTGTGGCAGCTCCCCAACAGAATTGAATGTCATGGTGGAACGCGGCACAAAATTATTTCCCCTCCTTCCCGCTATCCTTCACCCCTTCCGCGCCAAAGAGCTGTGGGTCGATGCCCTCTGCGACGGGCCTCCCGAGTTCACTAGGCCTTGGTTCAACGGGCCAGGTTGGTTGCCGAGATAGTCATAGGGAACTCGGACTAGGGTTCCTTCCCACATGCTTTGCTTAAATGTACTTAATAAAATGTTTTCTCTCTCTCTCCGCGTGTGTGATGTTGTGTGCATGGAAGGTGAAAACAAAGTGCTTTTAGGTGAAGCTTGCCATGGTTGGCCATGTTCACATCATCACAGCATAGATTCTATGGAAACAATTTTTATTATTTCATTAACTGGGAAAATAGCTTATAGTGTCGTATAGAAAATTAATATCTGATTCTGGATGCCTCATTATTTGACTAAGTTTAGGCAGAGAAATTTGGACAAAGAATGACCTTTTTGTTCGTTAATGCGTGCATCAAATATCCAAGGCTGTAAAAATGCTTGCTTCGCACTGTATTGTATCATTTCCAACTGTCTGTGAAGGGTCGGTGCCCATAAAAGAGCGTCATATAGTCAAATTTGCCGGAGCCCTCCACTACGGCGTCTCTCATAATCATATGATGGTTTTGAGACGTTAAACCCTAGGTATTATTATATAAAAAGTATTATTCATTCCATTGTGTCTCGTGCTTGCGTTTGCCTTATAGAAAGCTTTCGTTAGTCAATTCTTTTGTCAAGAATTAGATTGCGCTGATAACAAGCGTGCTATACCAAAACTGGAAATGCTGAATATGCATAGTTGGAGGGAAAACCATGCAAGACAGGTGCATGATATACAATATGCTTTGCTATAGCACTGAGGAAAGAGGGTCTCATTAGTGGGTGCAAGCTAATTCATTTATATAATTTTATTCTGGTGAGCTCTTTTGCATTATGTCTGTACTTCAAAAGAATTTGTGTAGTTAATCTTTAATGATTACCCTGAATATCACTTAGCAGCAGGGTAACTTTTCTCCAATGAACTAGTGAAGTTGTGTGGTAGCTGTCTGAAAATGTGAGGGTAAAAAATTGCTATCTAGCATCAGAAAACGTGCTTCCAATATAGACAAACTCAAATGAGTGATGCGATATCTCCAACGTAAAAGCTGTTGAAGTACAGTCAAACCACTTTATAAGAGGCACTAATATAACAGGCAAATGGGTGTGCCTACCTTGAAATTGGGGTTGATAAGAAAATGCATACATGGTACCCTGCTTATAAGAAACACCTCCTATAAGAGACAAGAATTGCTCCCCTAAGCAAGTCTCTTATAAAAGGGTTCAACTGTACTGTGGTACTAGCTGTAGTAGTCTGGACTAGTATGAGTAGTTGTAGGTTATGTTGGTTCTGACAAAGAGGATGAGGGAAGCTGAAGTGGCGTAAAGGGGCTAACTCGAGCAGACCTGTTGTTAGAGAGACGAGCAAGTCCTTTGGATGGGGATTTGCATTGATGTGGGAGGCTCGTTTAGGTGCTCCTTGGCTTCTAGCCTTGGCAAAGATTTCCGGGAGGCTTTCGCAGTGGGCTAATGTTTGTCCAACTTTGTCGCAGGACATCCTTGCCTACCTGAATGGGGAGACGGCTACATCTGCCAACATTGACAAGAGTGCTCCCATTGAGATACCTACACAAGGTGGGTAGCTGGTTGGCAGGTGTTAGTGCAGGTCGTAGGCACTAACCATGTCAAGCCTGCAGTCACATATCCCTGCACTTGTGCCTAGACTGCGTTGGCGTAATAAGTAACATAATAATACACGATGGTTGTCGTACTGTCGCTTCTGTTTTAGCATGTGAAATAATTGAAGTAATGGAGGATTCCTGTCCAATGGTCTTTAAAGGCAGGCACATTAGGTAGTGGACTAGTAGTCTTTGAAAGCAAGCACCTATTTGCATTTTAGTGTCCTTTGATGAGTCAGCAGGCATGCTCAGTTCGGGGCAAGAGACTTCGTTTGTTGCATGGTGAAGATACAGCAAGGTTCCTTGCTTTTCCTCCATGCTGGTGTGGCCTCCTGGCATGATGGAAAGCATGTCTTGCCAGCCGGTGTGCAAAATATAACGACCAGAGTACGAGAAAGTTACCATCAATACATTGGCAAAATAAAGTGGAACTTACTCAGACTCGCTCAACAAATATATCTTGTGCTTTGATCGCACTCGGACACGGACTCACCAAAATTTTCTTCAACCGGACTCGCTCACACTTAAGCTCGCCAAAATACTCACCTGAACTCGCCTAGAATTGCAGCTCGATTGGAGTCCGAGTGAGTTGACTCACGAGGGAGTTCGCCGGCCTATGATCTTGTAAGCTGGTTTTTGCAAAACTGGATTGCTTGGATGAAACTCTACTACATGCACCAAACATTGAGAAAGAATAGCATTAGTAAGTACACTAAAGACTCGTTAATTCAGAGTCACTGGGGCTGTAAGAAATCTTTGAAATAAGCGGGTTTTCGAATCGACAGAACATATAAAAAGTGGGATGCAAGGAACTATCAAAATAATCAATGCTCGTCGTTTGATGTGCCGGCTAGCTTGGAGCTCCAGGGGATATGCTTTCCCACAATACCTGGTCTTAATTTTGCCGTAACCACGGAGGAACGATAGGTCTCGCTGCAGCAAAAGAAACAAACAAAAAAACGCTGTTGTGATCAATTGAAATATGTGCCTGCGGAAAACAAGATATCTTCACTGCATCACAGTAGTGACACGCGGGCAGCATGTCGCCTGCTCCTGACTGCGTCAGCCCGACATAGTGTGACCATTCGCACATTCTTTCTTGTATAATTAGAAATTTCATAATGTCTTGTGTGACGAAGCTCTTTATGTGGTTTGGCTGAAAAAAATGATTTTTCGAACTTTCAAGCCTAGTTTTCGAAGTAATTGTTGCTGGCAAGAACTCCGCCAACAGTTGAAAGGGAGGAATTGCTGAAACAACCGGCAATCACAGGTTCGCATACATTGCAAATTCTGCCAAACTGTCCTTTATTAATTTATTTACGATCCTTGAAAGAATGCGTAAACTATGACCCGCTGACGTTGCGAGAAACATGTGATATGCTGCTCGCGCATCACTGCTGTGCTGCAGTGGAGCACGTCTAGTTTTCCATAAGCGCACATTTAGGTTGACCACAAGGCCATTTTTTTTTCTTTTTTTTCTTTTCGCACTGAAAGTAGCGAGGCTGGGATGCTTCAGCTGTGACTCATTAGTATTGTTACGTGTCATTGCCTTGTGGCTATTGAGGGCCGTCGTCTCTGCGGATTCGCGGTGAAATCGGGATTTGCAACTGGCACATGGCACCCAAAGCTTTCGAATTAAGGGAGGACACGGGTCTTGGCGACGAAAAACGCCAAAAAAATCTATTTTTCAGTTTGGTGATTTTCGTTTTGTTCATATCATCCCGCACCTGCCAGCAAAAAATAAATTCGAAATGACGCGTTGTTGTGCCAAAAAATGTGTTTATTCATCCCAGCACTTGGTTTCGCTTACGAAATCGCCGAAAACAGCCCCCTTTTGCATTGCTTGGATTGCACTAACAACTCATCGGATCGTGGCCATCTAAGTCTCGTTTGAAAGAGCTTCTGTTGAGCTCGCTTTCCCGCCAGGAACGAACCTTCAATGCTGCAGCCAGTCTGCACTACCAGGCGAAAACAAGCAACAAAACCGTGCAGTATCATTGGTCTATAGCAGTCACGAGAGTGAACAGCGGCTTGTGATTGGAGCGTGGGGACTGACAACACTGGTGATACGCGCACGCGGCCGTCGCAAACACGCGCATTGTCATCGCCAGTTCGGAAGTTTTGTAGTTTTGCGATCGAAATCGAGATGCTGAACCCTGCTCGAAAGTTCTGCATGCTTCATAAATTCGCCAACCGATGGAAAAAATTTATTGTGCAGCCCAAGGAGTCGTCGCAGCCAGCGCAGCCTACGTCGGCAGAGCCGACCGGGACTGTAGACCGGCATTCGCCGCGATGCAGCAGGCCGACACAAAGGCAGCCGTCGATCGCTACAACTTCTACCAGTGGTGACACGCGCTCAGAGTGTCGCCACTGGTAGAATATTGAAGTATATATATATACGCACGGTGAACGCACGGGCGAGCTGGCGGCACTCTTCGGCTTGTCTAGCAACATCGGAGATAGGTGGACACTCGGAAGCATCAGGACGGTAAGGAAGTAGGGTATCAATTGTATGGGAAGGCTCACATCCGTAAAGAAGAAAGAAAGGTGAGAATCCCGTGGTGGTTTGTATTGCGGTGTTATATGCGAACGTGACGTATGGGAGAACACGGTCCCAGTTGCTATGATCAGATGCCACGTACATTGAGAGCATATCACCTAGCGTGCGGTTGAACCGTTCCGTTAGTCCGTTAGTCTGCGGGTAGTATGCTGTCGTTTTTCGATGAATGACGTGGCATTCCGAAAGCAGAGTTTCGACGACCTTGGAAAGGAAAGCGCGGCCTCTGTCACTAAGAAGCTCTCGAGGTGCAGCATGTCGAAGGATAAAGCATTGCAAAATGAAAGAGGCGACATCCTGAGCTGTAGCGCTCGGCAAAGCGGCTGTTTCGGCGTAGCGTGTCAGGTGGTCAACCACCACTATAATCCACCGATTACCATCTGGTGTCAATGGAAGGGGACCGTAGAGGTCAACGCCGACGCGATCAAATGGCTTGGCAGGGCATGGAAGTGGCTGCAATGCGCCAGTCGCACGTGGCAGTGTTGATTTACGTCGCTGGCAGTCAGGACAGCACTGCATAAATTTACGTACAAAATTGTACATGCCGCGCCAGTAATAGCGATGGCGAAGGTGTTCATATGTTTTGAACACTCCGGCGTGGCCACATTGCGGATCGTCGTGAAGGGAGGCGCATACTTGCGATCGTAAAGTGCGTGGAATGACCAGCAACCACCGGCGGCCATCGGGTGCATAGTTGCGTTGATGAAGAAGTTGATCGCGGATGGTGAAATGGAAAGCTTGACGTCGGAGGGATCGAGATACTGGAAGGTGGGGCGTGCCAGATAAATATTCAATAAGAGAGGCGATCCACGGGTCACGACGTTGTTCGGTGGCGATCGAGTCGAGATTTAGCGATGACAAGGTCTGGAGGCAAGTGTTTCCGCACGTCTGATCTGGTGGTAAAGGTGAGCGGGACAGGGCATCAGCGTCAGAGTGTTTGCGTTCGCAGCGGTATACGACGCGAATGTCGTACTCCTGGATGCGAAGTGCCCATCGCGCAAGGCGGCCAGAAGGGTCTTTCAACGTGGAGAGCCAGCAAAGCGCGTGGTGATCAGTTACTAGATCGAACGGGCGGCCATATAAGTACGGCCGGAACTTTCCAAGCGCCCACACCAGAGCCAAACACTCTTTTTCTGTCACGCTGTAATTAGTTTCGGCTTTCGTCAGAGTGCGGCTAGTGTAGGCTACAACGTATTCTGAATAGCCGGGCTTTCGTTGAGCGAGGACCGCGCCTAGCCCGACGCCGCTGGCGTCTATGTGCACTTCGGTAGGAGCCGTCCGGTCGAAGTGGCGAAGAATACGTGGGGAAATGAGCAGACGGCGCAGAGTAGTGAAGGCAACGTCACACGCAGGGGACCAGGAGGTGAGGTTCACGTCACCGCGAAGAAGCTGGGTTAACGGTGACATGATAGATGCAAAATTGCGAACAAAGCGCCGGAAATAGGAGCATTGGCCTACAAAACTGCGAAGTTCTTTCATGGTCGTCGGCTTGGGAAATTCTGCAACTGCTCGAAGTTTTGCTGGGTCTGGTAATACGCCCTGCTTGGACACGATGTGGCCTAAAATGACGAGCTCGCGTGCAGCGAAGCGGCATTTTTTCAGGTTAAGCTGCAGACCAGCGTTGGTCAGACAACTTAAAATGTGCCTGAGGCGAAGGAGGTGCGTAGGAAAGTCATGGGAGAAAACCACGACATCATCGAGGTAACAGAGGCACATATTCTATTTGAGGCCACGTAGCGTATTATCCATAAGACGTTCAAACGTGGCAGGCGCGTTACAAAGCCCAAAGGGCATGACGTTAAATTCATATAGTCCGTCTGGTGTAATAAATGCCGTTTTTTGGCGATCGGCTTCTGCCATTGGGACCTGCCAGTAGCCAGACCGCAAATCTAGCGACGAGAAAAATTCCGCTTCGTGAAGGGTGTCAATGGCATCATCAATGCGCGGCAAAGGATAGACGTCCTTGCGGGTTATCTTATTCAAACGACGATAGTCCACGCAAAATCGGATAGATCCGTCTTTCTTACGCACCAGGACGACGGGAGATGCCCAGGGACTGTGAGATGGTCGAATGACGTCTCTACGAAGCATATCTTCGACTTGATCGTTGATGACGCGGCGCTCTTCAGCGGAGACACGGTATGGTCTTTGACGCAGTGGCTGGTGTAGTCCGGTGTCAACATGATGTTTGGCTTGTGATGTGCGGCCCAGTTGAGGTTGCGACACATCGAACGAACTCCTGAACTCATGCAGAAGATCCAGCAGGTCGGCATGTTCGGTGGGAGTGAGAGTGTCGGCGATGGCGCTGGAAAACGTATCATTGGACGACTCCCCGAGTGCCGACAGTGCTTTTGGGTGGTCGCAGTAGTCATCCGGGACATCATCCAAGGACGAAGGGT